ATTTTAAATTCTAAAAGTTTTATATATTTGAACCTATTATTTATAATATTTTGAAACTATTTGAAATTTTAAATATGCTCACGTAACAATGGTTTTAATATTGGTCATACTTATAATGATTTTAAACCATTGTCCAAAATATTTAACCGAGTGTAGTTGAGTATTATACGTCCGTTTTGAAAAATTCAAATTGCAACATATGCAAAAAAAAGTTAAATTTTTATTTAATATTTATATTATATAATATAATATCATAAATTAAAAATAACATCAAATAAAAGTGAAAGAAGAATAATATTTTTTAAAATAGATTATATTAAATTAGTTAGAAAAATATTAGTAAATCCTATAATTAGTTATGGAAATAATATAATGCTAAAATTAGATTTGGAAAGTATCCGGTGTATGTATCCAAACCCATTAATCTATCCAACTTTAAAAGATCCAATTACAAATTTCGGGTAATTTTTTGAAATTGACCCGACCCGGAAACACTTTTTGTACTTCTCTTTTACTAATATAGGGATGTGATTAAATTATATAGAATTAAGGTGGTAAGTTCTTACCATTGAGTTAATCTCGCTAACCGTTTGGAAGAGGTGACAAGGTGTCAAACATACTATTTTTGGTTTACTATTTGTTTCATGCAAGTATAAATATGTTGGTAGTTTTAGTTAAGATTATCATAATGAGTGACATATAGAAGTTATTTGTAAACAATAATTAATTATCGTACCACCATCATTGTTGAGGATAGATCAACCTCTAGATACTAAACTAAACTATACTCTAAAGTAACTATTACAAACTTTTTATCGTATATAAAAAGTTGGGATAAACTTAATTAGAATAACTCGTCCCTTTGACAATTCATATCAACGTTTGGTTCCGAGAGTACCGATTCATAACTTTTTTTTTGTTTACTACTTGTTCTCTCTATCAAGTGTGTGTAATTAGAGAGAACAAAAAAAAAAGTTATGAATCGTACATTTAAATCATTATCAGATACATGCTATAAGACTATTACACCTGCTACAACTGTTTAATAGTATTTATTACTATCTAGAAATCGAGGTCTATAATCTATATGTCTGTTTAGACATATCAGCAAATGACAGTAACTAAATCTACTTAATAAGATCCTTTCCACTTTTCCAGTCTAAATACATACATGCTATAATACTACAAATATTTGGAGTAGAAAAGAATATCACGTACAAAGGTATGAGCAGAAGCAAATAACAGTATACAATTGTGATTTTGAATCTATGAAAGTTGTAAATATGCTTCGTTCGCCAAAGTGCTAATTGTCTAACATTGAAAACAAAGTCCGTAATACACTGAGATGCTCAGACGACGTACGTAGGTTACCATTTCGCCAAAACGGATTGCAATGTTGATATTTCACAATGTTGTTTTCGTATCTTTAATATTCTTAGAACATACTTTTAAGTTTTGTAATTGTTTGCTCACTTGTAACCATTTATTTTACATAAGTAATATATATGGATAACAAATACTGTATAGTTTTGTTTGTTTGGTATCCATATATATTAAATACTACATTTATTTATCCTTCTTTTTTTTTTTTCTAATTAAAGTTGAGATTATGAGTGTCGTCACTTGTTGCTTTAGAGTGGTCATTTGGTTTTATCAATTTACCATTAAATTTGTTGCTGTTGTTGTTTTATAACCCGTTTATATTTATCATTTATTACCATTATTTTTATTGATTTGTTTTTAAAAAAGAGGTGACGCTAAAGGTATGGGGTTAAATGTTATTAATACCTGCAAAAGGCGAATAATAAATAATGATAAAGCCATAATAAATGCAGGGGGGGTTAACACAGTATTAACAAACAGTATAAATTCCCTAGTGAACCTACTCAATTGAGTTAACGTATAGCCTAATAGCCCAATAATGCATATATTGGTTCAAAAGAGGAGGATCTTATACTTCAGATAGTCAAATTATCTGTTTTTTCTCGATGGTCAAGCTCTCAAACAGTCGAAGGAGTAGGTGAGTGAACTGTGAAAGCAGCAGGTGAGATAGAGCTAATTATATCAGTACATGATAACATGAACTGATCAGTTTTATCTTTTATGTAATGTATTCATATTAATGGTGTACTGTCATTTACTATTAGTTTATGATATCTCGTTTTCTAATAGATTTTAACGCAACTGTACCAGGCATCGACTAAATTGAAAGTCTTTTATATCAAATAATCTGACGGCACAGTAGGAAATAAAGGATTTGCTCTGGATTTAGTATTGCATTGCAAAATAATTTTATCTTCTAATTAAACAAACTTCAACATTTGTAATCTAGGCTATATATGTATAAAGGCTTTTTCATTCAGATTAGTATGAAATTGTTACTGCACCAAATCTTTTCTCTTTACTTTGGTCATTGTTAATTAGACCTAACGTATCTAAAAAATATATGTCACTCAACATTTACGCATATGAATGTTACACTTGTAAATTTTTTTCCTCGAGTATAAACAATGTTTGTTTCTTCTTTACAATAATAGAGCTAGACCTTCATTCAACTCGTTGAATACGAAACGACGTCATTTTTCTTTTGATATTTTTACGTGGCCGCTGATGCTAATATGTTGATTCACATCGTTATGCAGAAAAATCAACCAAATCACTTTAATTCATGTCTCACGAAACAACTACATGAAGTTTTTGGCATGGTCATTTAGTTCGGATAGAACTCATCACATTGAGGATAATAGTTACCACATATAAGCTTTTTTAGCA